TGAGACAAAACTAGTCATTACTTAGAAATGGACAGGCAGGAATGAAACTGCAGAATCAAGTCAGGACTATGGCCATAGGGAAGCACCCTGTTCCCTCCCTGAGCCTTCTTCACAGTGACCCCTGGATGATCCACATGGCACATGCTGAGTGGGCTGGGAGTGACAGATAAACTGGTAGAATTTGATTCTGCATATGCTATTACAGATTGACAGGGTTGGGCAGAAACATGGCTGCCTCTGAGGAGAGTCTAGCAACAACAACCATAGCAGGTGATTCCTTGTGTGGCCAGAATTGTTTCCTATCATTAAAGATATCTTGGAGGATAAGCACCAGCAGAGAGCACTGTGGGGTGGCCATCCCTGGAGGTTCACAGAGATACAGTGATATCTCACCAGAGACACTGAAGATCCAAGAACTGACAGAGTTGATGGAGTTCAGAAGATCTTACTCTCCTGGGCAATCAAGGATATTCAATTAATGTTTCTGATTCTCCAAAAGTCTAAGGCAGGAAATTTTCATTCCCAGAGCTGAACTCTTCAGTAGAGGGCTGCAGGAGTGTACAGAATCCAGGACAGGCCAGATATGGCTGAGGAGAGAGGCAGGTGCAGAAAGCAGATTTGCACTGAGGACTTCCTCTCTCTGAGACAAGGAGGGAGATAAAAGAAGTCTGGAGGAGCCAGGCCCAGTGCTGGAGTCTGAGGAGGGAGTTCTCTGGGGCACCTCCACCATGGCCTGGACTCTGCTTCTGCTTATCCTCCTCAATCAGGGTAAAAGAGTGACATTTGCTGAGAAAGGTTTTGGCAGACTTCTGGGTTGACATTTTCCCTCCTTATGCTCAGATTTGGCAGACCAAGCATTGACTCAACATAGAGTGTGTTTCCCTCTTTCTAGATTTCTGGGCCCAATCTGCTCTGACTCAGCCTCCCTCTGTCTCTGGAACTCCTGGACAGTCAGTCACCATCTCCTGTGCTGGAACCAGCAGTGACATTGGGAAATATAATCATGTCTCCTGGTTCCAAAGTCATCCAGGAACAACACATAAACCCATGATTCATGATGTTAGTAGTCGGCCCTCAGGGATCCATGACCGATTCTCTGGATCCAAGACTGGCACCACAGCATCTCTGACCATCTCTGGTCTGCAGCTGGAGGATGAGGCTGATTGCTACTTGTGGTGAGCCGTTCCTGCGGACTGTGGTCGCCATTACATGATGGCGCTGGCTCCGTTGTGGTCTGTGAAGGACAACTCCATATCAAAGAGAGTTGGCGTGTTCCCAGCTCCTTATCAGAGAAAGTTGGTGTGTCATTTTCTAGCACCCTGTGAGAAGGGTACACGTGGCAGCTTTGCATTGGGGTTCGCGGTGCTTTATTAAGGCTGGGAGGGGCATCCGAGGTAGTAGTAGAAGAATTATTAGAAGAATATCAAGGGCCTGAATAAACTGCTGAAAGAAGATTCCTGAGTCGCGTCTTCCTTGCGGGCAAGGGGGGTCGCGACAGCTACTGCTGTTCACGTGCAGGCAATAACAATTACCACAGTGGGCCAGGTTGAAGAAGTGAGACCAAAACCTGCCCGAAGCATAGAAGTTGTGTCTTGCTCTGAAGATGCTTCCTCAACTTGGTACAGAGATTTCTTCCTGCAACATGAACTAGAAATTTAGCTACTCTCAGCTTCCCTCCTGTTCCATAGTGAAATAATGAACAAAGTGTAGCCCTTGTTTTTAAGTTCTTGGGACAGTGACAGCTTGCTCTGCTCTGGTGATGTGGTCTCTCTAATCCTTTATCTAAAAAAAGAGAAGGTTAAATCCATGCCTATAGATGCATTTTCTCAAGTTCTCAGTGAAATCACAAGTCCCTCAGGTCAATGTATGTGAGTTTTCTTTAGTTAGTATGGCTGTTATGTAAATGGCTCCTTCTTTTTTTTTATTAATGAAAGAGTTATTTGGAGGGTGAGAATGTCATTCCTCAGGGATTCTGAATGTATATGTGTTACAAATTTTTAGAAGAAACCCCAGTTAGAATAAAAAGTTAATTCCATATGCAGACATATCATCCTCAAATTACAGGGAATAACATCCTGACAAACCCTTGTAAATAAAAAATATAATTCAAAAAGTACCTTAATACAACCAAGCTACTGAATGTCATTGCTTAGTAACCTCATACACTATAGAATATAGGTTGTTGCCCTCATGATTACAAAGCTTACTGGAGCTGCAACTCCCTCAAACCTTAATCCAGGTCCAATATACCCAAAACTAGCCTCAGAAAAGATCAAAATTCAAAACTGGAAGTATGATTTCTATCAGATGCCTATTGATCTTTCAGTATAATAAAGTTGAGAAATCATATGTCAAGCCATTGTAAGGGACCACAATATTGAGAATGGATATGAAAAAACATAATCTGAATTTTACACACACACACACACACACACACACACACACACACTTGTATTTGACTGTATTTTCAGGCATTCTTTGAACACATGGGTGCTGGTGCCAGACAACACAGGATGGTAATCAACCTTCATCAACTTACCAGAATTTTTCCAGTATTAACAATGAAATATCCACTTCCTGACATCTTACATGCTAACTCCAGTACATTTCTATATCTTCCATTGCACTTTGTGTCTTTTAGATGTGAAGATTCAAAGTGCCTCAATATCTTCCCATGATCTCCTCAATAATTAAAGTACACATACACAATTTTTTGAAAAATATGTGAAAATGGTTACTTTCTATATGACAATTTGAATGTTTGTAGTTTTCATATTTCAAAATGCCTAACAGTGTTTCCACTCTTTAATGCTGTATGGGACTCAGCTCTCGGGGAAATTTCCATTTTCTCCAGGGAATTTCCTCACTAAGAGCCAAGGATATATTTTTGCCTCTTCCTTGGACCTCCCAGGAATTTAGTTGCACCTTTCCTTTTTATCCATCTGCTGCCTGGTTCAGCCCTTGACTTGCTGGAGGTGCAACAAAGAGGTTGCTCCTGAGTGTCATCAAAGCAGTATGAGGTTACAGTGCTAGGGCATTGGATCGCTTCATCTTTTCATTTTCTTTGTTAATGGATTCAGGGAGATTTTTTTTAACATCAAAATAGAAACTTCTTTCACCCTGTCTTGAGATATTTACATACATATATATATATATATAGATACATGCATATATATATAAATTATCTCTAATTCTCACAATGAAATATTATTCAGCCTCAAAAGAAAATAAAATTATAGCATTTGAAGCAAAAGGGTGGAACTGGAGAATATCATGCTATGTAAAATAAGCCAGTCCCCCAAATTCAAAGCCTGAATATTTTCTCTGATAAGTGGATGATGATCCATAGCAGGGGTGGGGGAGGGTAGGAAGAATAAAGGAACTGTGGATTGTACAGAGGGGGTGAGGGGAGGGGTGGGATAGTGGGGATGGGAAGGACAGTAGAATGAGATGGACGTTATTACCCTATGTATTTGGTATGATTACTGGTGTGACTCTGCACCATATGTAGACAGAGGAATGAAAAGCTGTGCTCCATTTCTGTACCATGTGTCAAAATAATTCTACAATCATGTATAAGTAATTAGAATAAATTAGAAAAATAGAAGGGAGACCACTAGAATAGAAGAAGGGGATATGAGGGAGAGATGGGAAAAAATGGGGAGGTACTGGGGAATAAAATTGATTAAATTATACTCTTTTATTGTGGGCACATATGAATACATTATAACAAATTCCACTATTATGTATACTTAATATAAGCCAATAAAGAGAAAAAAAATTTTTCTCTAGTTCTAATTTCATTCTAATTTCATCCCTGTTCTTTTCAGTTAAGGAATGGAAAATGATTCAGTTTTATTTCACTTCGATTTTAAAATCTATTTTTGTGTAATGTACTATACCTAAAGAGGATTCCAAGAGATAAATACATATTTTTGCATTGCCATAATTGATGAAATAAGTATTAACAATGCAACAAAGACCAATAAATGGTGACTATTCCATCTATTCCCTTATTTTCTCATCTCAAGCAAGAGAATGAGTCTGAACTCCTAGGAGGGAGATGGTTCACCACACAGCACTCATGAGGCACAGTGTTCTAATTGTATAGCACCAGCTCTGCCTGAACTCACTTTCCACAATGTTTTGTTTGACTTTCAGCAGAGAACAAAACATGTTAGAGAGGGACTCCTTTTCCCTCTTCCCTTGAAGAGGGAAAGGAGGGAATCTGACCTGCTTCTCTAACTATCTCCACTCATTCATTCTGATTCCACTCTGCCCCAGGCCCATCACTGCAACCATAGGAACTGATATTTGAACAAATATTTCAGGATGTCCTTCACTGTACACTGGGGATCTGGCTTTCTCACGTCTAAGTCCTTGACACTTTTCCGTGTGGTTCATGGTTTTAAATCTGTGTTTCTCTCTATTACACTGTTCCTGATACAGTTTGTGAAACTATACATCCTATTCTAGTTTTAGGAGGACACACCCAGTCAGTCAGCCTAGTAAATCAGTAACTGCAGAGGCATTTTCCAGGGGTATTGCAGACCATGGGTAAAAATCTCAGCAGCAATGCTCTGAACAGAATACAGCACCCATTCTGGAACAATGGGGAGGTGTTTAGAGACCTGGGTTGGTGTTGTGACAGGGGAGGGGAGGGTGAGAAAGAAGAGGAAACATTTTAATGGAATCTCCAGGGAACATATTTCATATCTGACATTTTACTAAATGTGAAAACGTTGCTGGCTGTGTAGGCTCTAGAGAGTTCTCAGGAAAACAGAAGATGCATTTAATGAGCCTGCGTGTGGCTCTCTCCATGTTCCTGTGCTGACTTTCATGGAATTTTTGAACCTGTGTTTTTAATTGTATTTGGTGAACCACAGATTAGACTATAATTTCTGCCTGTTTCTTGTTTTTGAGAACATTCATTGCCTGCCTAAAAGCTCACATGTTTATCCCACAGGTTGTGATAAGTTTTCCTCTGCTTTGGGGAAGATTCTTCTCATTTTCCCTCCAGTGAACTTCCTTGATTAGATCATATTGTGAAGCTCTCTGAGTGATTCCTGTTTAGCATCTTCTCTTCATTTCATATTTTCCAGGAGAGATTCCATCTATAATCTTTTCACAGTTTGCCTTTAACTTTCTTTCCTGTATTTTTCTAGACTTCTATTCACTTCAAAAGTGTTTGACCTTATTTCGGGGATGGGTTTTGCAATGGCTGCCTAAACCTTTGTCAGAAAAACCCCACACCTCTGTCATCTCCTTTTAACTTTCACATGAATGTTGATGTTTTCTTAATCTATTATGTATTAAGATAGTTGGACTCTATCCTAGGTATTTATATATTATTTTATAAAACTGCATCTTATTCAGATCCTATCTGTATATTTGTGTTTTAGCAGACAATCTGCCAAGTTGAGCTCAGGATATAAGTTCTAACTTTCCATGGGCAGGTTATCATTCCTATCTCAGGTTAATTTATAAAAAATTTGCAACTACTAGCATTTACTTCATGTGTACACCAGGCCTTCTCCCACATGAGATCTGTTTGTGGACTACCCCTCAATCCTGTTTTCAGTCTTTTCATTTTCTTTATCATCAGATCCTTGTGTCTGCAGTAGAGAGGTGAGAGGAGAGCTCAGAAGTGATCCAGATAGGTGCTGTTTCAACCTCATTATTCTCAACAACCTTCTTAATTCTACTGTATCACTGGTGTTCTTTCTTCTTCCTCTGGTTAAACAATGTGTACTTTCTTTGCTGAGCCCATCTATACCTGTGCACATGCCTAGACTGAATATAAAGAAGACACAGGAATAGAACCAAGGGAGCTTCAATCCATTCTCTTGGGAATGCACTTTTAGAAGAAGAAGATCAGGTCTTTCTTTCCTCTATTGTGACTGCTGTCAGTGGGACAGAATGTCCTAGAAACTGTGTTTTGAAAATGAACAGTAGGAAAACAAAGGAAACAAAATGTGATTTCTCAATCCTGTTCTGAGCATGAGTAGTCACCTTACTCAGGATGCATCAGTGAATATTGAACTTGTCCTGTTTCATGGGGGTTCTCTATCAGTCCCTGGACTGCATGGAGTCCAATCCAAGGAGAAAAAGAGACAAGAATACAGCTCACCTCTGGATAAGTGGCACCTCAGGATCCCATCTCCCTACCTTCTCTTCTATGACTTTCATTTCAGGGTTCACATACAGGTGCTACTGGGCATTCTGGGAAGATTTTTATTTTTAACTGCACAAATAGTGAGAGAAACAAGAGAATGTATACTTACTATATCTTACCTGCAAAAAAAGAATGATGTAATCCTATTTTCAAAATGCATAAACCATATGAATTAGTAAAAACCAAATAAATTTGAAAATACTGGGACTAAAGAGCATTTCATAAATTTTCATAACATCAGGAAGAAACAATTTTCAGTGGTTTATTTCTCCTGTATTCCAAGTTTCATGTCAGTTTTAACATGGACATAAGAACATGCACAAAAAATGAAGAAAAACAAATCTCTGTGGCTCAACAAATAAAATAGAAAAATTA